GCTTGAGAACAAGCATGATGCCAACGCCACAACAATATTAACAATGACACGTGGGGGGTGGGGTGGGATACGGAGTATAGGGAACATTACAAATGAGTGGAACAACAATTTTGTGTGCTTCACTGTACACTTTTTGAAATTTCTTTTGTGTTGTTTGTTGTTTTTATGGGGCATGGGATTTCGACAGGTAGACCGTACAACACTCGCGCCACTGATTTCTATTATGGGCCATATCTCTCAGCGTCTTTAACTAACGACAATCCTTATCCCTTAGACCCCAACCAGGAAGGTGGGCTGCACCAACCGAAGCCAAAGTTGAAGCCAGCTTCTTCACGCCTCTAGCTCATGTCATGGCCTGACTACCGCGCCACTTCTTCCAGCCTTGCCCAGTACGTACGAAGAGGAAAGGTATTCAATAAGCAGGCATACACAATTCGTGAATAAGACATTGGGGGCTATGGAAAGCGATTACTTCCGTTAGAGAACGACTATCCGCACCCAACACACGACGACGAACCTCGCCACTGCCCACTCGGTGTTCCCACCAGACTCGAGCAGTGCTTCGGGGACATCGGTGGTTGAATACAGAAGATCGATTATCATCCTCCGTTCGGAGAGGCCAGGTCTCGCAACCGTGAAGCAGAACACTACGAACCGCGACGATGTACACCCACCTTTAAGGGATAAACGAATGTCATAGCTTTCGCTTTTCTTGATATTTTAACGAGAAGACGAGCTGGAAGGAAAACGTTCATTGATTCAATTAAAAAAACAATCGGTGTATGCGTTCAATTATATACAATCAATTCTTAACCGCTCGTCAGGGTGATTCATGCCTCACTCTGTTGGTCATCCCTGATGGTTTTAGTCCGCACGTGATACGTACGTTGCCTCTTCTTCTGCGTGCCGTGCCGACTGGTTGGTCCCGATCGTAGCGCGAGATACGTCGATCGACAGCACCGACGTTGTGGTATTCGGTGGATGTCTTTCTGGCTAGATGCGGATTGTCTCTCGGGCTGTAATTGTCGATTCGTTCGTTTCAAGTGGTAGCCGGCATTGTTTCGCGAAGTACTTCAGCTGCTACGTCTGCGCATCTGGTTGGATGGGCCCTATTCCTGATTCGTTCGCTAGCCGGGACTCTATTTGTACCACCTTCCATCCCAATATGATCTCCTCCCTAACACCCCCACCAGCTGCGATCAAGCCCCCGAGGTATTTAAAGGTCTCAACTACTTCTAGCTGATCAGCACAGAGGATTAGTGCAAGCACAGGCTCCTGCCAGTCTTGAACAAGTACTTTGCATTTGGAAGGTGAAAAGCACATACTACATCTGGATACCTCGATCGCCAAGCGGTTCAGAGCTTCTTAGACTGCCTGTGTATCATCATCCAACAAGGCAATGTCACCGGCAAATTCTATGGCCAGAACTCTGTTCCCAGGGAACAGTTCAACTCCACCGTTTCCTAGACCGGACAAAGCATTCTGTAGAGCATCCTCTATGACAAAGTTGAAAAGAAATGGGGACATAGGGCAGCCTTATAGGAC